CTAAAAAATCTTCTCTATGATGACATTATCATTATCATGCAAATATAATATTTCTTTATTATTACAAAAATACACCCTGTTGACTTAATATTTCATTCCAGGTATTACTTGATTGCTCAGTTTTCCTTTATGGGGATATGGCACAAAAGAACTCAAAAGAAGTCATAATGCATACTCATTTTGATTCCTGTAAATTCTGGTATACATTTCAAATGACTTTTATTTTTGTACACTATTGTAACTGTTTATGAAAAATATTATCAAAAATAGCTCATGTTTAAATAGAACTATATTCTAGGCACTTAACCAAGTATATAATGAGGCAATCAAATTCTTTTTCTGTTTTTTATTTAGAACAAGATTTTTTTTTCAGACAATATAGTCTGATTGTTTACCTCTCCTCTATCTCATCACAGGTCCTCTCCATAGTCCCCCCACCCATATCCATACTCTTACTTTCTCACTTAGGAAACAAACAGGCATCTAAAAAATAAAGATAAAAATCAAAACAAACAAACCAGAATAGGATAAAATAAACAAAAGAAACAGATTCAAATAAAAAGCTCAAAAAACACTTAGATGCAGAGGTACACATGTTTGAACACAGGGAAAGACCCCAAGTTCAACAAAATTGGAAACAATAATATATACCCTAATGACCTGTAAAGTAAGGTTCAAAATAAGGAAAAGAAAAAACAACTCCAAAAATCCCATTGAGTTCATTTTGTGTTTGGCCATCTAAAGCTGGGCATGGGGCAGCCGTGAGAGCTCCCTGATTTCTGAATTGAAGGGACGATGGAAACATCTATTTAGGGTCTGGTGTTCTAACATCTTCCATCTCTGTACACTGCCCAGTTGTGGACCTCTGTTTGTTTCCATCTACACAGGAGGGAGCTTCATTGATCATGGCTAAACAAAACACTGGTTTATAAGTATGACACAATGTTGTTAGGAGACATTTTATTGCTATATTCCTTTAGCAAAAGTTTTAGGTTTCCCTCCAGGTTCCTGGCCTATGTAGTCTCTTGAGTCTATGTAGTCTCTGGATGAGTTCTATCTTATGAAGTGTTACAAATCCAAACAGACAGTGCTTGGTTACTCCTATAAGTTGTGTGCCTCTATTGTACTAACACAGATAGGTTACCATATTGGATCAAGGAGGGTTTATAGCTGGGCTACATTTCACCTTTCTCCTTTGGTAGCATGAAGAATACCTTCCAGTACCATGAATACTAGTTAACAGGTATGAAAAGTCTAGGAAGGAAACAGCTCAACTTCTCCATGTTCAATGAATTGTAAGGGTGTATGTCTTACCAATAGTGCCTTTCCATTAGTGTGTTGAGAACAGAAAGCAATCATTAGTTTTGGCAATAGTCTTAGTTGTTTGGGGGTTTTCCTGGAACCCCTTTGGCCAATAACACAATTAGATGTAACACAACCTTGGCATTGGATATTTCCTTTGTTGTGAGAGATGTCGTTAGGACTTTGTCTCCCTTGTTAGTTAGTGACTCTATTGAGATTAATGGATATATTTTAAGAAGCCTCTACTGTGTTAGGTTTCCATACAACGTTTCACATGGCCCATTAGATTTAATTCTCCATCTCTTACCAATCTTCCTGAATCTTGTTTGACTCTCCCATTACAGTGCTACCCACCCTTGTTCAAACACAACTATTTTATTTTCCATAATTAGGAAATTCCATTTCTTCCCATAGTCACTTACTTTATACAAATCCTTTGAGTTACATGCATTATAGCTGCTTATTGATGACTTAAGAGTTAATGTTCACATATAAACAAATACATGCTATATTTGTCTTTTGGAGCTTGTGTTACATCAGTCAGAATGATTTTTTCTGGCTCTATCCATTTACTGTGAATTTTATAATTTCATTTTTTAACAGCTGCTAATATTCTTCTATATAAATGTATATTGTTTTTCTTTATCCATTAATCCATTGACTGACATCAAGTCCATTTCCAATTTCAAGGTATTATGAATAGAGTATCAATCATCATGGTTGAACAAGTGTCTCTGTAATAAGTTTTAAAATCCTTTGGATATATGCCCAAGAGTGGTACAGTTGGATCAGGAAACAGATCTATTCATAACTTTCTGAAAACTGACACAATGATTCCCATAATGACTGCACAAGTTTGTCCTCTCAGTAGAGTGAATGAGTCTTTCCTTTATTCTACATCCTGACCAACATGAGATGTCATTTGTCTTATAGAAGTTGGTAATTATCACTAGAGTAGGATGAAATCTCAATGTAATTTTGAATTGAATTTCAATGAGGACCAAGGATGTTTAACATTTCTTTAACCATTTCTCAGCTTTTAATCTTTTCTCTTTTTAAAACTCACTGTTTAGATTTATATCCCATTTTTATTTGGTTTATTTGTTTTCTTGATGTCAATTTTTTGAGATAATATATATACATATATATATATATTTGATAGTTATATGCAATATAACATACACATAAATTGAAAAATCTATCAGATGTATAGTTGGTAAAAGCCTTTTTCCTATTTTTTTTGTCCAAGTGATAGTGTCCTTTGTATTACAGAGCTTTTAAGTTTTATGAGGTCCCATTTATTTATTAATTGTTGAGCTCAGAGCCTGCAATGTCAGTGTTATGTTTAGGAAGTCATTTCCTGTGTCAGTGCATTTAAGGTTCTTCCCCAGATTCTCTTATATCAGGTTCAGTGTATGTGATTTTATGTTGAGGTCTTTGATCCATTTAGAGTTAAGTGTTTTGCAACATGATGCACATGGCTCAGTTTGGATTCCTCTACATCCAGTTTGAATTGCACCATTTGTTGAGGATGCTGTTCTTTTTTTTTTCCAGTGTGTATTTTCACCTCTTTGTTAAAAATCAGATGTCTATAGGTATGTATATTTATGTATGGACCCTAATTTGGAGCCCATAGATCAATTACCTTATTTGTTTTTGTGTCAATACTAAGCTTTTTAAAAACTGCTATATATCTGCAATACAAGGCAAATAAACAGATAGAATCCAGGTGGTTCTTCACCCTTGGGGTATGATATTTAGTTATGCATGAGGTTGACTGGAGAGCAAACAATCTTTCTACACTGCCTTAACAAAGATGAATTGCAAATGCCATGTATTTAGACCCAGAAGGTATTGACTGTCTTTAGAATTGTTAAGAGTGCCAGTGCTCAGTCATTTAAAACGCAGAAAGAAGGTGCCAGACTGAGATGTTCCAAAAGAGTGTTCAGTGCAGCATGGAAGTACAAGGCAGTAGAGAACCCTATCTGTGCACAGAAAATAATATAAGCAATTTAAATTGAGTATATTTCTCCTCCTTTTGCACATATCTGTTATATTTGAACCACTGCAGTTGATATTCAGGTCACATTAGAGGCATCTCTACCATGCAAGAGTGGTCATCTCCATTGATTTTTAGCTTCAAGCACAAACAAGTCATTTCTACATGGTTTTTTTTTTTCCTTTTTTCTTTTTCCAGACTCTCATCACAGTGATTTCTCTGGATGGGATCTTGGGTTTATAATATCTCCTCCAGTATATCCAATATATAAGTAAGTTGGAGACCATCCATTGATCCTTCAATTTTAGCAGCTCTGCCTGGAGTAAGCAAGCTCAAAGCTGTTTGCATTTGCATTTTTCAAATTGCAAAGGATTGCTTTACCATTTGTATTTCTTCTCTACAATTCCACAGCCCATTTTAAATAAGGTGGCTTTCCTTCTTGGTGTTTTTTTTTTCCTTTTTGTAGTCTAGACACTGATTATTCTCACATGCATAGCCATCAAAACATCTCTTTCTCATTCTGTAGACAGGCTTTTCAGCTGATTAACAATTACAGAGAAAAAAAAGAATAAGAATGATATGAAATGCTGCTGAGTATGTGAGGACAAAGATAGCCTCATTCATTCAGTGTTAGTGGACTGCAAATGTGTGCAGGCTCTATGGAAATAAGTGTGTAGGTTCCTCAAAGAACAAGAAATATAACTAGCATATCACCTAGCTAAACCATTTCTGGGATTATTTCCTAAAGGATTCCTTATCCCAGTATACTGTAACTACAGTAATTATAAAAATACTTACTAATCCATATACATCACTCTCTACTCAAAATAGTCTGCAAATGGAAACAGCTTGTATGTCCATCAATGGATGAATGAGCACAAAAACGTGGTCCCTAATAATGATTGAATTTTATTTGTATGTTAAAACAGTGAAATTGAAATTTAGGAAGGAGCCTGGAGCAGAGTTGCTGGAAGATCTCCTGGAAAAGTGTGTCATGCTGCCTCAAATGGTAACACAGATCTGAGTGGCCTGCACTGCCACCTGAAGCCATTGTGATGTCCATGGTCCACGGTGCCACCAAGGGCCTTATCTAGGTCCATAATCCTACTGCGGTGTGGGGCTGACTTTGTGCTTTGTGCTGTTGCCAGAAACTGTGTGTGAGGCCCATGACCTGTGCTTCCACCAACTGAGAAGATCAAGGGTGTTACTTTTGCTGAGCTACTAAGGACTGCAGGTATACAGTTGTGAGGGAGGGACATGAAAGACTTCTGTGACAACCTCCAACCGCACACCAACCCCTCACTCCGGAAAATGGGTAACAGCCTAAACAGGAAGTCACCAAAGAGAGCTCTCAAAAAGGGTGAGGAGGTTGCTGAAGAGTCACTCTTCACAGTTGCTGGCATCTTGAGGACTTGACCAGTGGGGCGATGTTCAAATTCTGTTTACATCAGGTCTCTGAGAGTTTGACCATGACCCAGTGAGTATATAGAAAACACAAATTAAATTTTTTTAATTCTTATTTTTATTTTTATATTTTAGGGAATTATAAATGGAGGGGCTGACATGGAAGGACTTGGAAGTGAATGTGATTGGGGTACATGATGTGAAATTCCCAGAGAATCAATAAAAATATTATAAAAAGTTTTTGTAATGGTCAAAGTATACGGTGGAAAGTACAATATCTATACACGCACACATATATGTTTAAATATATTTATTTACATGAGTTAAACTATTGCTTTAATATACAGTATATGCTTTTATAGTCACATTGTCTAGTACATCTTTTCTTCACCAGGTTTTCTTCATACAATATTTTCTAATTATAATTTCTCTGTCCTCTACTCCTCCAAGTTTCTTCCCATTTCACTTTTCAATACAGATTTGGATTTCCAGATTTCCAGATCTGTCCATTTTCTGCTTTTTTATTAGAAAACAGACATCTAAGGGATAAAAATAAAACAAAATAAAACAAAACAAGACAAACCAATAACAAAAAACTACACTAGAATAGGACAAAACAAGCAAGGGGAAGGAAAATAGCCTAAGAAAGTCAAAAAAACAAATATAGACACAGAGACACATTCTTGCACATTTGGGGATTCCATAAAATCACAAAACTATAAGATATATGAAACTATATCTATCTATCTATCTATCTATCTATCTATCTATCTATCCCTCTATCTAAGCTATATGGACTATAATAAATATGAAAATCTGTAGGGTAAGAATAAATAAGCATAATGTAAGAGATTAAAAAAACAACAACCACAAACCAGAAAGACTGGTAGGATGTTATAAGACAAGGAACAGCCAAAGACATTGAGTTTGTTTTCTATTGCTGGACACTGCTGGGCATGCTCCCAACCTTCAGAATAGTTTATTTCTCTAATAAGACTCTCTTGGAGAAAACTAAGATTTTAATGGCAAGGGTTTATAAATTGGAGATTGTTTTTGAGTAGTGGATGGGGGCACATGTTCACTCCTCCTTTCAGCGCTAGGGCCCCACCTAAGTTCAAATGTTCAAAGCTCCTGGTGTTTAGAAGGTCTTGTTTTTGTGAAGTCCTCCATTCCCTCTTCCTTTTTTTTTCTGCTTAATTTTCTTCAGGAGATCAGATTACAAAGATAATCTTATAAAGCCATAGTGTGAGAACTGGATCTTAATTGAGGGCAATATTTTTTTAAGGAGCTGCCATAATTAGCTTCCTGCTGTAGAAAATCAGTCTGAATATAGCAAATCATAAGGAGATTATTCAAATATTATACAATCAGTTTGCCTTATTTTTGTTGTGTATGATGTGAGGACTTTATAAAGTTCATTCATACTCTTGATTAACAGTTTAAGAGTGGACAGTGACAAGTGGAAAGTAGTTCTGTAGTGGATGAAGAAAACCAACCGTTTTGATTACAAATAAAATAACCAATAAGTGATTAATTTGATTTAAGGTCCCCTCTATGACATGGAATCTATACCTGATACTGTTTTGGTGACTAATAACCTAAGGCTAGATAACACTGTTTCTTAGAAGAAAGCAAAATAATACTGTTCTAAAAAAGGAAAATACTAATAAAAAAAACTCCTAATGAAATTCTGCTGTACTTATAAATCACCATAAGAGACGCTTCCTTTGGCTACATTTAGGAACACAGAAACCTACAGCTAGGCATTATGCAGAGACTGGAAGTTCTTGTATTATCAGATTGACACATGGATAGTAAGCTCTAATGTTGACAGTTTGGTTTTCCTTCTCATCCTTACTCACCCTCCCCCCTTTTAAAACAAAAACCAAGTACATGACTATAAATTTAATACAGTTACTATTTTGTCTAAAATATTTTAAAAATATGTATTTATAGTGTATTATTTTTCCGAGTTCTCAACAGAAACATCTAATAGGTTATACAATACTATATAAAAGAGGGACTAATTTGAGAATTGCCTCACATAGCTATGGAAGCTTGGAGATGTTGGAGCAGTGCGATCTGTAAGGTGGAAAACAAGAACTAGAACAGTTGCAAAAGTTTACAATATAGTTTTGGGGGTCTGAATTCAAGTCTTCATAACACATAAAAAGGAATAAATGTAAACTAGCATAATTAAAGATTTGAAGTGTTGTAAATACAAACCACTACTAACATATAAGGATATTCACAAAAAGAACATTTACACAAGGAGTATTATTCCAATCATTAAAAAACATAACATGAAGTTTCCAGGCAAATGGATGAAATTAGAAAAAAAAAATCATCCTGAGTTAGGTATCTCAGATGCAGAAAGATAGATGTGGAGTATATTCACCTTTGTGTGAATATCAGCTGTTATATCAGTGATAACCAAACTACAATTCACAGAACAACAGAGAGTATATATAGAGGAATGACCTAGAAGGAGTGGATTAAGTTGTTATTCATGAATAATTGGATGGATGCAATGGGATTATCAAATAGGGGATGTGGATGAGGGAAGGGCCTGTGGACAGGAACATTGGGAGAGACAGCTAAAATTAAGGGGCACTGAGCAGTAGGATATTTTCTGGTACAGTAAAAAAATCTGAAAACATATACATATATGAAGGCAATCTAAAAGAAACTGCCAAATGTTTGGGAAGACTGAATCATATCATGTCATCTCTTATCACCAAGCAAACAGTTCAGTCTCAGGTTTGTGTTACATCTAATAGAGTTTTTGGCTAAAAGAGTCCCATGGGAATCCCTAAACAAGCCAGGCTGTTTCAAAGACAGTAGGTTGTTCTCTGTAATTAATAGCAAGTCCCTATTGCTGAAGACAGCACCTACATAGCTCATTGAATGTGGAGAAATTGAGCTTGTGCCTACATAAAGGCCTTACCCCAACTTTGTAGCATCCTTGGTACAGGAAGGTAATCTGCATGCTACCGAGAGGCAAGTGTAAACAAGACAGTCAAAAACACATTGATCTAAAATAGTGCCCTACCTTTGAGATATTCCAGGGCAATGGTGGCAAAAAGCTTGTGGAAAAAACAATCAACAATTGATTTGACTTAAGGTTCACTCCAGGAGATGGAACCCAGCACTGCTTGGGTGACCAAAACACAAGAGACCAGATATCCAAGGGATCTAATGTAAAATAAATACTATTCACAAAAAATAAAAAGATAACAATAACAACAACAAAAACACAGTTTTAAAATGATTCCTGATGATATTCTGCCATATTCATAGACCAGGAACAGGCTTAGCAACTATCAGATAAGTTTTATCCTGCAGCACTTGGGGACAAATACAGAGAGAGACCCATAAAAAGACAGGCAGAGAAAGAGAGACCATAGAACACTAAGCCCTAAATGAAATGTCTTCATCAAATCCATCCCCTCAGAGTTCTGGGAACCCTGCAGAGGAGGAAGAAGGAGCTTAAGATCCAGAAGGCATCAAGGGCACCTAAAAGAAGGCCCTCTAAATTAACATGAACAAAACTCATGTGTATTTATAGAGAGTGAAGCAATATGCACAGGGCCTGCATGGGTCCATACCAAATACTTTACTTATATTATGGCTTCCAATTTAATGGGTGCTCCTTTTTTTTTTTTTATATTCCTGAGTGTGTGAAAGAATAGGCCTTTGATTTTTATGCCTTTCTTGAGCTCCTTCCCTTCTGATGGTCTGTTGTGTACAACTTTGATGTGACAGCTTTTGTTTTTACCTTACTACATTTTATTTTGTTATATTTTAACATTATCTCTTAGAAGACTGTCCTTTTTTAATGAAAGACAGAAAAGGAGTGGATCCAGATGGGAAGAGATGTTGTGTGGAACTGGATGGAGTAGAACTGTGGAAATTGTATTTAGGATATATTATATGAGAAAACAATCTTTTCTCAATAAAAGGAAAAACCAAAACCAAAACAAAACAGCAAAAACCCAAAAAGCAAAACAAAAATAGTAACCACAAAATTTAAACATTTTAAATTAATTAAAAAATTTAAAAATTTATCTGTGGTATTTTGTTGTGAAATATTAGTTGAAAGTGTGTTGCATTTGTTTTTGTTGTGGAACATTGGTTTGATGATGCAAAGACGTGTCGCATTCTTTTTTGTTGCATTTGTTTAACTCTGTGAATCTGTGTTACTTTGCCTGTATCAAACACTTGATTGGTCTAATGAAAAGTTGAAAGGCCAATAGCAAGGCAGGAGAAAGGGTAGGTGTGACTGATAGGCAGAGAGACTAAATAGAAGGAGAAGAACCTGAAGGAGGAGCAAGAACAAAAAGGGAGGAGGACTCCAAGGGCCAGCCTCTGAGCTCCACAGAAAGCCACAGTCAAGAAGTAAAGAAAGGTATACAGAAAGGTAAAAACATAGAGGCAAAAGATAGATGGAATAATCTAAGTTAAGAAAGTCTGACCAAAAAATGAGTCAAGCTAAGATCAGGCATTTATAAGTAATAATTAGTCTTCATGTATTTTTTTTTTTGGAACTGAGTGGCAGGCCCTCAAAGAAAAAATATAAAAAAGGCCAACTACAGTGTTTTTGTTGTATGTGTTGTAGAGACCCAAAAATGTGACTCTATTTCCACCTTGTCTGAAGGTCAGACAGTTTCAGCTTGCTCAATGTTGTTTCCATTCCACCCTAACCAAATGTCAGGGAGCTGTAACTATTCCTTCAAGCTTACTGTATCTTTTTCAAACAAAGGTCCCACCTAGATTTAGTTCAGAGAGTCTTGCTCGCTCAAGGTTACCATCAACAGGTGTGGCTAAAATCCAGACCCTGAATTACAGTTGTTGAGAAGTAGATCTCTTTCTTCCGCAAACAAAAGTCTAAGGATCAAACCAAGTTTCAACTCCTTTAGGGAAATAACTATGGATTCCAACCAGGGAGCGGTTTACCTATGAAAAGTTTTGGTCTAGAGTGTGAGCATTACTTTTCTTGTTCTAGCAACAGAATGTGCAACAATGAATATAGCCTGCAATCTTTAACTACTCTGTTCATTTCTTTGTATCATGTTAATGCAGTTTTTGTCTTACTCCTACCTTTTGTGGTTGGGGTATTTTAAGCAAATGAAAATTAAACATAGGCAATTTCATTATTCACTGAAACTCCCTCCTGGTACTATCCTATGTTTTCTGTGCCTTCATTTTCACTTGTGCCTTCATTCTCTTATTTTTTAATCCCCCAGTCCCTACCCTGGTAATTGGTATTTTTGTAGAAGCTGGTACCCAACTCTATGTGTGTGTGTGTGTGTGTGTGTGTGTGTGTGTGTGTGTGTGAACATGTGTGTTGTTGATTGTCAATTTATGTGTACATAGGTTGTTGTCAGTTCTAAGTTTCCACAATGTAGATCCTGGGGTTTGAATTCAGATTGTCAAATTTGTCAGTTAGTGTCTTTCCCAATGAGTCATCTCAATGATTCTTTAATGAAATTTTAATTAGTTATTTTGTTGTTCAGTTTTCCAATAACAGCTTAATCACTTAGCCTCTGAGAGTACTTTAGTTCTTAAAAAATATAAATTCATCCTAGCATATGACTATTCTTTGCAACATTTGGCTTATTTTAAGGTTTTTGTTGCAGTTTTCCTTTCGTTGAACACAATTTCATTAGAATTCAGGCTGTTTTATGCCTGTAATGCTTATGCTCCTGAGGAAATAATGGTGTTCAAATTACTTAAATGTATACACATTTTCATTTTCAGTTCTACTAATGGCTTTATTATATACACATAAATATTTGTACTTTATTTCAATCCCAATGAATGGAAATATGATTTGAAGAAAAAATGAGATGTTTATTTGAGTCAACAAAACATATTCCATACAAGGTAAATAAAATAGCAACAAGAAGAATTAGTATGATATAGGAGAGCCAGAATATGGATTTTACATGCTGATGTCAAATGAGGCTCACATAACACCCTAATCACAGAGATCTGTGCTGATAAGTATACAACTCACAGGTAAGTACCAGGAAGAAGCATTTATTTATGCTGAGGAAAATGCTGACAGAAAGTCAATGCACAGATTCTTCTTTCCCATAATGAAGCAGGATGCTCAGCTACAATTTTGAGCCAAATATTAATGCATTTTTTATTTACTAAGGCCAATAAGATTCCATTGCTTTACTGGTAATATTTCTAGCTGCTCTAAGATATCAGTTTATTCAAATAGTAAATAATATTACTGAAGTTAATGCAGCACTGCTAGGACAACAGAATTAAAATGATCTCACATAGTGTAATTTTTTTAAAAAGGAGGTCCTATGAAAGAAAGTTAAAAGACATTGACTTTTAAAATTTTATCCCAAGGGAGTTTTATGATATATATGCATAGTTACATATCTGTCTTTCAGTATATATCAAATTTATTAACACACATATACTTAAATTACCCTTTTCCCCCTGGATCATATAATCAGGTATATTTTATTCACTATAGCTAATGCAAACTATTAAGGTCACCATGCTATTGTGATTCCAGATCTGACTTAATATTTTGTGTTTGACTTTGTGATCCTGGGTCTATGACTGTCCAACTCAAACTTATGTTCTGCCCCCTGCTTCCCCATTAGTATTCACTAAGAGTTGCTGCTGCAGGGAGACTGGGGTTTGGGCTAGAGACTCATCCTTTGTTATCCATGGTCTTGAAGCAACCATTGTTTTAGCAACCATTTTTTGGCAGCAGTAGAAACATCTTCCCAGTGTACCATATGAATGCAGTTCTCAGTTTCTCTGTGGTTGCAGGACCAGGCTGATGGATACACCAACTGTGGAGTCCCCCAGCTCAGAGGTTTGGTTCTCAGACCCATAGAAACCCACTATGAACACAGAGACACCAGGACTCACAGTTCTTCTCCAATATCTTGATTTGTTGCTCCGGAGGATATTCTACTTCAAGCTCCTCAGATTAATTAAAATATTTTAGTCTTTTCACTTTTGTACAGATGTAAATGTGGTAGAAGTCTCCCATAATTGCTCCTTCACGGAAACTTCACCTTTGCCTTCCAGTTACTAAGTAACTTAATACCAAGTTAATAATTTATGCTTTATTTGTTAAATTTTCTCTGTTAAAATAGCTGGTATAATTTATATCTATTTGCGGACTCTGACCCAGATAGTATAAAGAAAGCTCAGAAATTCATCACATTCTAGTCCAGTAAGAAAATGGAAACACTGTCCTATTATTGCATAGATAGAAAGCTAACTTTTAAAAGCTTTCTATGTTACCTAACATAACCTATCTACTTCATTGATGAAGACTGCTGGGACATTATGTCATGGGTAACAGTTGAGTGCATTAACTCCTACATGTTATTGAAAAATAAAAACATACAGAATCAAGTTATATTTGTTTCTGGTTTTGTCAAGCTTTCATCGAGCCCTATATGTTTACATTTTATACCAAATTTATCTAAATTTTTGAAGCTAATTAGTCAGACATTATAACTTTCTTCTCTTCTCAACTACTGCACCATTGTACTTTTCATTTTAAGGTATTTGAGAAGCAAAGATTCTCACATTTTGTAAGTATTAGAAGGTGAGTAGGGAAAACTGGGGAGTTTACTTTACAACTTTGCAGAGTCTGGCATCAGCCTAGAATGGGGGAGATATTAGCTGAGTGAAGAGTGTATTTTATAAACCAAAATGCAAGCATGTTCCTTGTCTCTTTCCTCTATTGCTGAGTAATCTGTAAGGTACAATTTTCTATATCTTCTATTTCTCTCTGTGCTTCCACCCCCTCTCTCTAGCTCTGTCTCTCTCCCCTTCCTTTCTTCCTTTCCTTCCTTCTTTCTTTTTTAAAAAAGAAACAAACGTATTTTTTTCATTTTACATACCAATCACAGTTCCCACTCCCTCCGTCCTTTTCTCATTCTCTCCACCTAACTCCCCTACTCACCCCTGATTCACTCCTCAGAGAGGGTAAGGCACATTGCTTTGGGGGAAAGTTCAAGGCCTTCCCTACTATATCTAGGCTGAGCAAGGTATCATCCACAGAGAATAGGTTCCAAAAAAGTTAGTACAAGCAGTAGGGATAAGTCCTGGTGCCACTGCCAATGACCCCACAGTCTGCCCCAGCCATGCAACTGTCACCCACATTCAGAGGGACTAGTTTGAACCTATGCTGTTTCCTTCCCTGTCTGGTTAAAGTTAGTGAGCTCCCATTAGCTCAGGTAAACTGCTTCAGTGGGTGTCTTCATCATGGTCTTAACCTCTTTGCTCATATTCTCACTCCTCTTACTGTTCAACTGGACTTTGAGAGCTCAGTCCAGTGCTCAAATGTGGGTCAATGCCTCTGTTTCCATCAATTACTGGATGAAGGTTTTATGGTGATATTTAAGATATTCATCAGCCTGACTACAGGGCAAGGCCAGTTCAGGCATTGAGGGATGACTGGACACAGTTGTGGATGTGACTATCATACTGCAGAATATTGGCATTCAGGTTGCCTCTTCAAGAGGCAGATGTTCAGTTCCTAGGAATTGGAACCCTATCTCAAGTCTTTGATGTGGGATGGAAGCTACACTTATCTATTAATTAATGATTATGCATTATTTTATCCAAAAATTTTGTACAAAAAAGTGAAAAGTCACATCTTGAACAGAGAAAACATTATTTCAGTGAGCAAAAGAAAACTCTACAAGAAATACTATATCACAAAGAAGTATGCACCAAGGATATTTACTGCTCAAGAAACTAATCAATTAGAGAATAAAATATATATAATAGAGATAGCATTTGAAGTGATTTATAAATTATACATTGATTCATTTTTTAATTTAATTTCTACATTTAAAGTTTCTGTTGCTGTTAGTGGATAATTAAAATGGATATTGGGTTTCTCTTAGACTTTATTGCAAGTAAGTCTAATTCTTCAAGATGTCAAAACTTGGCAACTGAATAATAAAGATTACTATAGGAATCTATTGATATAAATTTCAGAAGTAAAGCCATGTATAAATATTGAGCAATACTGAGCAATATTTTAATTAACTTTCTTCTCTTGACAGGAGTAAATAATTTCTTTTAAGTACTTATTAAAAGTTATACCATACATGGATGATAGTCACATGATTGGTATATATAGTATCAACATTGGGGAGGACAGGCCTTATAACCATTAGTTTGTGAAGACTCTAGAGCAGGCACTAATCCTTGGAACACTTCTCTCTGATTTCCACAATGAGAAAACCCTTTCTTTATATTCCATTTAATTTTACTTATGCTTTAGTAAAAGTTGTCATGGCTAAGTATGGATATTACGCTCTTTGTAACCTGGACTATATCTCAAAAAAGAGGTACTAGTTCCTATTTTCTTTGACTTGCCCACAGTTATTACATTGACTGACTCATCAGTCAAACAGTGTTATAATTAATATAGTTTCTGTGTGATTACTTGGATTTGGGAAGCCAGGAAATGAAAGTGTAGTCTCTGGCTATAATATGTGAGCATGTGTATGTGTGTGCACAAGTGTATGAGAGACCATATGGTGTGTGAGCATGTGTGTGTATGTTAGCATGTATGTGGGTATATGAGTATGGATGTATATGGAAGTATATTTGTGGAGGTATCTAAATGTGTCTGCTTTTTCTCTAAGTTTTGAGAGTAAGTTGCAGAGCTGATGATTACTGATTTTAATTATTCCAAAAGGTTTTGTTTAGAGATTTTAATCTATAATTAGTTCTATATTTAAAACTCAAAATGTTTACAAAATGGTGATTTGTAGACATTACTGTTTTAATAACATGAAATTAATTTCATTTAAATGAAGGAAAATTCTGGCTCGGGATCTGTACATTATGAGACTTACATACTTTTGGTATTATTTAATCTACTCACTTTCGAAGAGACTGTTATTCTTTTTCTTCATGTCAATGACTTGACTTACTTGATGATTTTAAGTCACAGAGCATAACTTCCTATTGCTTTCATTTTATTTGTCTTTCCTCTACATTAAACAACAGCATTTGATTTTAGAATCAAATTATTATTTGATTATAATAAAATAATAATAAATTATTATTATTAGCAACAATAATAGTGACCTTATGTTCATTGCAGTAAATCCCATCAGGAGGTAAAATACATTAGTAAGAATCCATAATTTATTGAATATTATGATAGATCAGCATGAATAATCTTGTCTAATAAATGCAGATTAGGACAAATTAGGAGATTCAGTATAGCATAAACTTCGCATTGAATTCCCAATTACATTTTATTTAAATCATCTTAAACATCAGTTTGTGATTTGTAAGTAATATTTTTGCCTACATTGAACAAATTCACTGTGTATAAATGTTGATAAATAAAAGATACCTAAATGTGTAGATAAACTCTGTGAACACACATATACTTGTGTGGATATGTGTATATCATGGGACTAAGAATATTTTAAAACCTTAAAACCTTATAAGAATAGTTTTATTCTAGGAGATAAATGAAATCTTATTTTTTTTGTTTGTGAAAAATAAAAACTGATTTAATAGGAATGACACTAATACTGTCTGTAAAGATTCTGGAGACTTATACCTTCAGGAATTTACAATGATTGTAAAACTTTAGGTGAATTAAATAATTCTTCTGGGTAACACATTCCACAATTATTTAATGGAGATACAATTATATCTTAATAATTTCTCTCATCATGGGAACTATAAAAATATTAAGGAAGTATATACTACTTAATTAAAACTATGATTGGAACATGATATTACTTTGAGAATTCATAATTCTCAAGGGAAAAGAACAGCTTGATATATTTGAAAGAAAAACTATCTCATTCATTTTATTCCTTACCTTGTGGAGGTAGTGTTTTACTGAAAAATGACCATCTGCCTGATATAAAAATATAGGCTCATTTTTCTGAAGAAACAGACTAGTAAAACACTGCAATAGTGACATTGGTTCACTGATTAATATTTCAGCTGTCAAGGTCTTCTGCATAGATAAGAAAAAAGTGATATTGTTGAAGGGTTAAAATCTGCTCATTTATAAATACACCAAAACTTGGTATGCAGTGCCTTTAAAGTCAATTGAAATTACACCCAATGATCATTTAGTTTTCAGCCAAAATTTACAGTGATTTCAAAGCATTTTTAATCTTCCTTTTAATATTCATGGTTGTTGCCTTTGCTTTTTCTGGGATGCCAATATAAAACTCCATGGATAGTGTAGTGTTGTATATTATATTGGATTTGAATTTTAAAAATCCATCAGTAGCTCAAAACAACTGTCTCCAGGTTACTAAATTTATAAATTCACCTTTACTTCAGTTTAACTGAAGACCCTTAGTTCACCACAAACTTTATATACACAAGTGCAAACAGTTGTCAAATAATATGCTAATTCGGCAAGTCCCTTCAAAGCGGTTTTTGGAGAATCCGGATATAAATGAGGACCCTTCTGCTCTCCAAATTAAACCTTGTATTGCCTTACATTTGATCTCTTATCCTTATTTGGGCTCCATTTTGAAGCCCAAAGATTACCAGGAGATGTTCTTTCTTCTTGGTTTCTGCCATTTCAAAGTGAAGAAATTTTCTGAGCATTAAAGTAGGTTCAGCTAAATTTATTTTATAAAGCAAAATACAGCATTAGTCAGAAAGAAGACTACAGTGGGTTGAGCCAAACAAGTTTTCTGCTGCAGAATTTTTAGATACTTTAGAGACTGTTTATGAGATTCCTAGTACTCATTGGGGTAAGGTGACCTTTATTCCCTTGGAATTCATGCCCAAGTATGTTTCCTTTGTATGGAATTTTTTCCAATGATCAACCTGAGTGTCTAGCAAAGAGAGAAAAAAAACCACATTCTTGATGATTGAGACTTCTCATTACTAAGCAGGTTGTGTAATTGAGTAAGTGTTTGATACCTGTATTTCTGACATTGTAGTCTCAAAGACGTTTAATTAAACAGAGACTTTCTGATCAAAAGAAAATATTGCTATGAAGATAACAACTGCTGTTCCTTTGATCTATTCATATGTAACCTAA